CGTCAAGGTACAGGATAGTTCTAGAAACGTGGCGTGACACTAGTCATGTGACTTCGCTGACGCAACAATAGTTTCATTAGTCCTAATATATTTTAACCGATACAGGAGTTCATCTGTCGCCTAACATTGTCAGCCATTAATACGTTGTTATCGTTTACTCATCAGTCGGGTTATCGTAAGCCTTGAATTTAACGGTTTCAAAAAATATGTATCGAATGTTAATATGAAAATTTCCTTTTTGAAGTTATATATCAAAAGTGGTGAAACTATAGCATAATTTGCCCCATAGGCTCCGCAGTTAATATTGTTACGTTTCCGTTTGTTAATTAATTTTCCGTAACTTCGTTCCGACGAAACTTTAGCGACACAAGTCCTTTCTTAAATAAAACTAGTTTATTCTTTCCGAATACAACTTTACGATACACTCAACTTCAACAATCGCGCTATAACAAACTATAATTCACGTCTCACGAGCTCGACTTCAACAATGCGTCTCTCTCTGACTGCAGTTCAATTACTCATTACCTACACACATTGTTGTTACGTTGTGAGCGTCTTATATATATACCAGACAAACATATATCTAGTAAATGCTAGGGCATTCACGAAGGAACAAGATAGTCCCAGAAACGTGGCGTGACACTAGTCACGTGACCTTGCTGACGCAACAATATGATACATTCAGGTATACCGCGACTTTATAGTGGCTGTAATAGTCACGTGACTTGTTGATTTGCATGTTCAAAATTGTTTTAATATAACGCACTCAACCCTCTGTATAAACATATTTTTTCTACAGTTTGTGTGTTTATTTTTGATCAGCCAGTTGTTATCTCCATTCTTATTTGTAATTATTTTTCAAAATTTATAAAATATAAGTAAGTGATGAAAAGTAAGCTATGTAGGTCAGAACTAAATATTAATGTGTAAATCAACAAATTCAATAATGTAAAATAAATTGACAACAGTTACATATTCTTATAAACCAACACATAAGAAGACTAAAAACCTATAATGATTGAAATGTATTGAAATTATCAAATTTTCAGTTAATTACCTCCATTAGTAACAATATTTTTGTCCAGAAACTCAATAATGTTTTTAACAAGTTAGGCCATCTTATGAGACTTAGGTTAGACCTAAATTCAGTTACTAAGCTAACAATGCAAAATAATCCTCACAAACGTAATATTAACAATGATAATAATATTTCGTAAATGTTTGTTTATTCTTCACTTAATATAAATGTTTTGTGTATTATAAAGAAAATAAAGGTTATGCAAGTATTTATTCATTATTAGAGTAGTTCTTGAATGCCACCTGGTGAAATATATCGTCAACTTCTGATAGTAGACACCAGGATGCTTTGTGGTTTTTAAAGCGGAATCACACTCAACACTGCGTGAACGGTTACGTCAGATAGGTTGGATGGTAGCATTTTCGAAGTAACTGGAACGCGCTGTCTTTGCATTATTAACTTCAAAAGAAGTCTAAGTTTTATAAAGTAAAGAACTAAGAATACATTAAAGGTATTTTAAATATATTCCCTACTTAGAGAATTATACTACGTGGACCATATTTTGGGGTATGTTTGAAAGTTTTTTTTGTAAAAAGCTGAGATTACTACATTTTAGTTATACTAGTTTTAGTTACTGCACTAATGTTTAGTAATGGTACTGGTAGAACTTCAACTACAAGTAGAACTATAAGTATAAATATAGTTTAGGCTAATGTAGCACAATTTAACAGTATTCAGTACGCGTACTAATACTAGTAGGCCTAAGACTGGATGATGAATACAGCATTTTTAATTTTATCGTGTTAGCTAAAACTTTTATCCAGTGTTAGTGTCACTTAATGATTAATCTGATTATTTATTTGACAAAATATTGTAACCGTTCAGTTTCTATTCAGGAGCCGAACGTGACGTTAATAATGTAGTAACTTATATTGTAAATTTAATGACACAAGTTCATAACTATATTAAGTTACCTGGAATATGGCTATTAGTATTATATTATTTAAGCTATGACTTGGTGCAAGTGTTATTGCCATATTTTCTGAACAATATTTTTGTATTTATACTTAACACTTAAGAGAAAATATTAAAATTATAAATGTTTGATGTCTAAAATTTTAGAAGTAGAAATTAAAATTGAATAGCCTAATAATAGTAATATATTTATTTATGATACATTTCCCCTGCAACTGTGTTAAGCGTTAATTTTTATAAGTTGATATGTTAACTCCAACCCCTCTCTTCCAAAATGTGTTCAGTATTGTATCATTTGCTCCATTTTACTGCCATTTACTTAAAACCCAATACTGTGTGCATTATTTTTAATTTTGGTGATACTGATTCAATAAAACAAACATGTATGGTTAATATCAACAGCATTACTATTAGTAGTAGAAGTAGTAATACCTCACAGTTTGTTGAACACATCTTAACAAACACTTTCACATTTTGTTGTATTTTAGTAGTTTGTATTATACATTAAAAGTATACCAGTTATGCATTTGGTTTTGAGTTGTACTTATTTAACCCCATGTACATGGGTGGTGGTCAAAATGTGCATAATCCATCCTAGTATGGAAAGACACTGAACTTGGTATCGTGCATTTGATGCCAGGGTTATCAATGTGTCATGTTACCCTAAATTGCTGATTTTGAAACAGTTCATTTTGAGGTAGAGAAAATACCAGATACAATACACAAGGATACTGAAGGAAAACACTTCAGACATACATTTAGGGTGTCATAGAGGTTACTATGTAAGTGCAATAATGCATACTGTACAATGGATGAAAGTATTGTTCACATGACTATCACCTTACATTTTGATTTGTCTAAGTCTGAATCAGACTGCTGTCATGATTTCATAGACATCTTGAGTATAAATGTTTTAGTAACACCTAATTTTTTTGTGTACAACAGATCTCTGCTTTTGGCTAAAGGCATGCCAGATTTCATGAAGATAAACTTTGCAAATTTAGAATTACAGTCACTGGACTGACTCTGTGCATGTTCAGTTAAGAATATAAATACACTAAAAAAATGTTATGACAGAATACCATTTAGCCAAAGAAACTGGCCCAACCTAAACATAACTTTTCACATTAATGAGGTTATTTAACAAAAACTTTGAAATGTTCAAAATACCAGCACACACTACACAGTTTGGCAAACCATTCTGTGAATTAACAACTCTGACAAAGAAAATGTTTAGCCTAATAACGATCCTACACCTGGCCTACCATAGCTTATAGTTGCTTTTTGTAATAATGATTTCACTGCCAACCTTATCTTTCCTACACTCCAATAAACATTATTTTGTTTCTTTATCCAGTTTCCTAACATCTTTTAAACAATTGTATTAGATCCCCTCTGCACTGTATTTCTATGTTTCATAGAAAACAAGATTTAATATTTAAATATACCTTCATAGCTTAAATGTTTGAAATCAAGGATCATTTCGGTAGCCTGTCTCAAACCTATTTTAAGCACATCAACATATTTTTTGTAATAAAAGAACCATAACTGAATACAATATAAAATATTTCAAATGAGATTTTACCAAAGTTTTTTTTTTTTTTTCAAATATTCAGCATGAGGCTTGAAAGCTTTATCATTATACCCACATCTTTCTTACTCTCCACAGTATTAATTCCTCACACACACACACTGTGAAAAAAATACCTCCAAATTTCCATACCCTAAATACTTTAGTTCACGTTTATTATTGTTTGAAACTCATTTTCCACAGAGTACCAAACTCAACATTTTGAATGTGTCCAATGCATTTCGTGAAAATAGCAAAAGTTGTTCATATGGTTTCTATGATGTTAACACCTTTTCCAAGCTGGAGAAGCATTATTATAATTAATTATACTTGTCATGAGGCATTAGTACTAGGCTTATTATATTTTTACACTGTTTTCTTTATCTAAGCCCTTAAGGATTTTCAAGAATTAGAGTAGTGTTTAATAATAGTATTCCAACCACACTAGATATACTATGGTTTTATTGAGTTGCAATGGTTGTAACCATGAGGTGTTTTCTTTGTTTTTTTATGTTCACCAAATAAAATATTCTGTGAGTATGGTAGGCAACTGCAAAATTATATTCTCATGACTCAAATCTTTGTTGAATGTTATTGTAATGTTTATCCTATTGAAACAAATATATTAAATAAATTGGCTATCTGGAGACTTAATTATTTCTAATTGCAGTCTTGATATATTTTATATGAAATTATCATTCTTATCAGCAATAGCACATGTTCTCACTACTTATTATTATTATTATTATTACATATTTTAAAATCAAACATAACGGTAGTAGTATTTAGTAAACATTAGCTATTCATTTGCCATGTAGGAAGTGACCGGAGTTTCTTTAAAAAACAAACAAAATGTTGCAAAATATTTTGCAAGTTTTTTTTTTTCTGTAAACAGAGCAATACCATGATAGAATAACACAGTGGTTGAACAGGTTATGAAGGTAGTACATACTCTTCCTGCTTGTATGAGGATATGTGTGTGTATTGGGCTTGCACTACTCAATTGATGAACCTATCTATTAATTGGTTAGCATATGCCACTAATCACCCAATGTTATAGCTGGGAAATTAATTGATGTAGTCAATTACTAATGAGCATCGATTACATTGATTACAAAATGAATGTTCCCTTTGATAAGATTAAATAATTAAACATAATAAACAGCAAAAAGAAATAAAGTAACACAGTTCAATCAGAAATTTGGATTTTCATCTATAATAAAGTTACAGTAGTGTCTTATCAGTTACTTTTATTTTGAAAAACATTAATTAAATTTGTACCTTTGGAAGGTTGGGGGGGTGTTAGTTATAATGTGTTTTGTATATTTTGTACTTATTCTGTCATAATGTTTCTCTTCTATATTTTATAGTAAGCATTAAATACATTTTGTTGAAGCATTGCAGACACTAAACGTACCCTAATGCACTTCATAATGGATTGTTCTAATGCTCAGAAGGAGCTGCTATGTATAACTTATTGGTCTGTTTTGTTTTAAAACAACTTTTGTTTAAAGTAATGGGCAGTTATACCAATCGAAAGATCAAATTTTACATGTGCCTGACATTTAATGTGTGATTATTATTCAAACATTGTCAAGTGGTTTCTATTAACAAGAAAGAAAAATAATCTGGCAATGTTTCACATAGGGTTAATGAATCATGAATATAAACACCAAAATCTTTTTCCTCTGATTTTATTTGTGAGTTAACATCTTTTAACTGTCCTTATGTGACAATAGCATGCTAGCTTTTTTGTCCATGCATTGTTGAGGAAATTGATATTGTTGATGCATTGTCTTTTTTCATACTTAATTGTGAGAATGATAGGACTAGGGGACATTCAGTATTGAATGTATTGTTCACTGAGTTTAATACTTGCTGATCTCTTATTATGAGCTGTTTATACACATGCTCAAAGCAACCATGCATTGATCATGAAATTATACTAATGTTTAAGCTTATTGCGTTCGTAAATAAAGGAGCTTGTTGTTTATTGAAAAGTAAATATATTTCAGATATAAATTGATTTTGACAAGAATATTTTTAACAAAAATTGTTACTTAGTCTGACCTGATGCTATTTTGAAAGATCAGATCCTAAGTCACAAATAAATGTCAGTTTCTGCAATAGCTAAATGTGATCACTAATGCACTGTTGAAATAAAATATTAAAAGTTTTTAATGATTATCAATTTATATATATGTGCTACTGTTTCTCTGCCTGCCATAATAAGTTTAATTTACCAGAATATGCCCTTCTAGTATCTACGTATTGAATTTGATTTCATAAGGTGATTTTTCTGTTATTTCAAAAGTTATTTAGTGATGCCCATCACTCCTGTCATTAGTAGTTTATGCAAGACAAAACCTTGTTACAGAAAACACTGTAAAAGCTTGCATTAAATAACAGCCTTTTCTAAATCTGAGGAGCCTAATATGATATAATTTGAGCTCTCTTCTCATTTGTTTATAGTGCATAAAGCTTGAATGAATGTTATGAATGCCCCTCGTCAGTGTTTTTGATGCCATAGATATGTAATACTTCCCTAGTCACTGAAATGTGACTTAAGTTTAAAGATATTAGAGAAGTTTGAACATGAGGACTCCATTAAAAAGTTTGAGAAAGTCTTTAGGGAAGTTCTTGATTTATTTGGGTCTGCTTTAAAGTTAGACCATCAGTTAGACAGCGTGATCCTTTTTTAAACATTTGGACTAGTTTATATAGTTTAGTGTAACAAGTTAACTGAAATGCATCATTCAACAATTTCTCTGGCCTTATAAGAGTGTATGAGCTGTGTAACATTATTTCATGGTGTTTACAAAAACAGCACATATAGCAATATGTTTTATTACTCATCTGGCTATTTAGTAGAAGATAAATTTACAACAGAGTATAATATCTCAGTTTAGCAAGGAATGATAAAATAAACACACTAATCATGGGCTAAAGTAAACTAACCTATATAAAATCCAGTGTGTGTCATGCCATGCTTGATTTTTTGAAATGGGAGGAGTCCTAAAAG